GGCTGGAGTGCAATGGCACGATCTCGGCTCACCGCAACCTCCGCCTCCCGGGTTCAGGCAATTCTCCTGCCTCAGCCTCCTGAGTAGCTGGGATTACAGGCACGCGCCACCATGCCCAGCTAATTTTTTGTAGTTTTAGTAGAGACGGGGTTTCACCATGTTGACCAGGATGGTCTCGATCTCTTGACCTCATGATCCACCTGCCTCGGCCTCCCAAAGTACTGGGATTACAGGCATGCACCACCATGCCCAGCTAATTTTTTGTAGTTTTAGTAGAGACGGGGTTTCACCATGTTGACCAGGATGGTCTCGATCTCTTGACCTCATGATCCACCTGCCTCGGCCTCCCACAGTGCTGGGATTACAGGCTTGAGCCACCGCGCCCGGCCTTAAATTCCATATGTTTAATGAACCTAGTGTAGAATATTTCTTATATCTACTTACAATGGAATTCATAAAGAAACTAATGTCAAAGAGGAACTTAGAACATTACCCAGCATATAATGCATTTTAATTGTTACCTATTTTACAGTAAATGTATTTTAAAATTATGTCTTCTTTAATATAAATATTATCAAGATTATATGCTATATGTGTTCACTATGTAACTCATAATATGCTAAATTTGCCTGTAATTTTAGATTTAAAAGTTCTGAAATAACATGCTTGAGTTCATATTATACAAAAAGTAAATTAGGTTATTTTTGTTTACCTTACTTCTGTGAAAATATTTGCCTCATGTTTAAGTTTATTGCATGCAAAATTTATTATTAGCATTTTATCTGCTTTTTTTCACCCTTTATATAAAAGATAATATAATTTATTCCCAGGCTGGAGTGCAATGGCGCTATCTTGGCAACCTCCAATTCCTCAGTTCAAGTGATTCTTCTGTCTCAGCCTCCCAAGCAGCTGCAATTACATGTGTCTACCACCATGCCTGGCTAATTTTTTGTATCTTTAGTAGAGATGGGGTATCATCATGTTCACCAGGCTGGTCTTGAACTCCTGACCTCATGATCCAGCCGCCTCGGCCTCCCAAAGTACTGGGATTACAGGCATGAGCCACCATGCCTGGCCTATGTCTTTGTTAAGGAGGGTAGGCTGGGCACCGTGGCTCATACCTATAATCCCAGCACTTTGGGAGGCCATGCCATTTTACTCCAGCTCAGACAACAGGGCAAGACTCTATTTCAAAACAAAACAGAAAAAGAGTGGGGAAATTTAATACTCTACTGACAGCACTAGACCGGTCATCGAGACAGAAAAAAAATAATGGTCTTAACTGCACCCTGGAAAAAATGGACTTAACACATATTTACCTAACATTCTACCCAACAATTTCAGAATATACATTATATTTATCAGCACATGGAACATACTTCTGGATAGACCATATGATGGGCCACAAGACAAGTCACGCAAATTTAAGAAAATCAAAATTAACTGGCCGGGTGCGGTGGCTCATGCCTGTAATCCCAGTACTTTGGGAGGCCGAGGCGGGTGGATCACGAGGTCAAGAGATCGAGACCATCCTGGTCAACATGGTGAAACCCCGTCTCTACTAAAACTACAAAACATTAGCTGGGCATGGTGGCGCGTGCCTGTAGTCCCAGCTACTCAGGAGGCTGAGGCAGGAGAATTGCCTGAACCAAGGAGGCGGAGGTTGGGGTGAGCCGAGATCGCGCCATTGCACTGCAGCCTGGGTAACAAGAGTGAAACTCCGTCTCAAAAAAAAAAAAAAAAAAAAAAAAAAAAAAAAAAAAAAAAAAAAAAAGAAAAAAAACCAAACAGAAAAAAAAAAAAAAAAAAAAAAAAAAGAAAAAAAAAAAAAAAAAAATCAAAATTATATCAGCTCCCTTCTCAGAACATAGTGGAATGAAATCGGAAATCAGCTCCAAAAGGAAGCTTCAAAACCATGCAAATACATGAAAATACAAAAACTTGCTCCTGAACGATTATTAATTTGGTTGACAGTGAAATCAAGATGGAGATTTAAAAATTCTTTGAACTGAAAAACAGTAGTGACAAAACCAGTCAAAACCCCTGGGATACAGCAAAAGTGGTGCTAAGAGCAAAGTCCATAGCATTAAGTGCCTACATCAAAAATTCTGAGAGGGCACAAATAGAAAATCTAAGCTCACGCCTCATGGAACTAGAGAAACAAGAACAAATCAAACCCAAACCTGCCAGAAAAAAAGAAACAACAATTATTACAGAAGAATTGAAATTTTAAAATTTCAAAGATAAATAAAACAAAAAGCGGGTACTTCAAAAAGATAACAAACATTGATAGATCATTAGTGAGATTACCTAAGAGAAGATCCAAATAGACTCAATTAGAAACAAAATGAGAACTATTATAACCAATACCACAGTAATACAAATGACCACTCAAGGCTACTAAGAACACCTTTACATGCACAAACTAAAAAACCTAGAAGATGGATAAATTCCTGTAAATACACAACTCTCCTAGATTAATCCAGGAAGAAATAGAAACTGCACAGACCAATAACAAGTAGTAAGATTGAAACAGTAATAAAAAAATTGCCAACAATAAAAAGTCGACTTGGCATGGTGGTTCACACCTGTAATCCCAGCACTTTGGGCAGATCACGTGAGGTCAGAAGTTCGAAACCAGAAGCAGAAGCGCACCTCAGGGAGCACAGCTGTGTAGTCAACTAGCAGCTAATGATACATGCCTAAAGGAGTCAGCTGAAAACAGAATGGCCCGCTGAGCCCAGCCTAAATTGGTGATCACCTCAATTATGACCTAAGAAGTTCTGGATGGTTTGTTATGCTATGCTAAATAATACATGCACACAGTGCAGATAGGATGCCAAGATTTAATGACCAGTTGATTACTAGTTACCTTCTAACAGTGGGCCCCAGAAAGATACTGGTTTTCCTCTTTATTCAAAGTTGGATGTCTTGTAAGAGAATATTGAGTAATGCAGAAATACATGTAGACATGTCTGCAAGTGATTTGGGCTTACACTCACACAGTTCCCCAAACCAAAGGAGAAAACAGATAACCACAGCTTGACAATTAGGGCAAAGGGCAAATAGTAAAATAAGCTTGCCTTTAATCTGTTTTCTCCACATTTAAACATTGAAGGTAAAGACTGGGGACATGAGCATGTGTGGTGGCTCACTCCTGTAATTCCAGCACTTTGGGAGGCCGAGGTGGTCGGATTACCTGAAGTCAGGAGTTTGAGACCAGCTTGGCCAACATGGTGAAATGCCATCTCTACCAAATATTCAAAACTTAGGCCAGGTGCAGTGGCTCACACCTGTGATCCCAGCACTTTGGGAGGCAGGGCGGGTGGATCGCAAGGTCAGGAGTTCAACACCAGCCTGGCCAAGATGGTGAAACCCTGTCTTTACTTAAAAAAGAAAAATTAGCCGGGCGCAGTGGCAGCCACCTTTAATCCTCATCTACTCGGGAGGCTGAGGCAGAAGAATCACTTGAATCCATAGGGTGGAGGTTGCAATGAGCTAAGATCATGCCACTGCACTCCAGCCTGGGCGACAGAGTGAGGCTCCATCTCAAAAAAATAAAAATAAAAAAGTTTAGTTGGGCATGGTGGCAGGTGCCTGTAATCCCAGCTACTCTGGAGGCTGAGGCACTAGAATCACTTCAATCTGGGATTAAGGTTGCAGTGAGCTCAGATTACACCATTCACTCTAGCCTGGGCAGCAGAGTAAAACTGTCTCAAAAAAAAAAGACTGGGGGCAGATCTGTAGACATAGAGCTTTCTTCTTCTGTGGCCCCATCATCCTTTGTTCACTGTCTGATCTCCTGAAGAAAGGTGAGCAAAAGGTGGTCTCCCTGCTGTTAGTTTATTCCTGCTGCTCTCTGCTCTTTCTGTGGCCACTATCTTCTCTACCCTCTGAACTGAAGAGATGTTGGTAGGGAAATATTTTCCACTCATTTATGGCAGAAAAAGGATATTCACGATTGGTGTGGTGGCATGCCTGTAATTCCAGCACTTTGGGAGGCAAAGGTACAGAAGGATCACTTAAGGTCGGAGTTCGAGTCCAGCCTGGCTAACATGGCGAAATTTCGTCTCTATTAAAAACACAAAAATAAGCTGGGCATGGTGGCACATGCTGGTAATCCCAGCTACTGGGGAGGCTGAGGCAGGAGAATTGCTGATCCGGAAGGTGGAGGTTGCAGTGAGCCAAGATTGCACCACTGCACTCCAGCCTGGGCATAAGAGCAAGACTGTCTCAAAAGAAAAGAAGAGAAAGAAAGAAAAAAAAGAGAGGAGAAGAGAAAGGAAAGAAAAAGAAAAGAGAAGGAAAGGGATGTTCAGGCTTCTCATCTGCTGTCAGAGCTGCACTTCAATGTGGCAGCTATGGGCCATTTGCGGCTACTGGGTGCCTGGAATGTGGCTGGTCTGAACTGCGATATGCTAGAAAGGCAAAATACATAGTTTCAAAATACTTTTTCCAAAAATATGTATACTTCATTACTAATTACATATTGCTCACATATTAAAATGATAATAATTTGGATATATTGGGTTAATTAAATTTCCACAATAAATTTCTCCTATTTTCTTTTTAACATTTTTCTACTAGAAAATTCAGAATTCACATGTAGCTCACATTCAGTTTCAGAGGGCTGCCTTTTTAAAAAATGTCAGGCTACCTGCTCAAAAGAAGAAAAGCCAGAGAGCTCATAAAATCGGAACATTTTAAATAATTGTTATTGCATTATTTTCATATGTGAATAGCCATATAATATATTATTTATAAAAGCATACGACCTTATACACAAGGTTATATGCAAATACCCTCTGGGGTGGAGCTGGCTTAGCTCGGGGAGGAAGCCCTGCCGGAGAAGGCTGCCGCTTGGATTACACTCTTCTTTCTTTCAGCCCGGCAGCTGAGCACACCTTCTGTCACTCAGGGCATTCGGGGGTGGGGCCCTAAACGTCATCCAATCAGAGATGCTGTTCTGGGAACCGTCCAATCAGGCACGCGGCTGGAGCGGACAGGCTGGCTTCCGGATTTGGCGGGGCCTTTGTCTCCGACTGCAGCCGGAGCGCCCGCTCTTCTCTTCAGTGCTGCGTCCTCTGCTCCTGGAGGCGCGGCCTCCGTGGCCCGGTTACCCGCAGGTACTGGGAGATGCACAGCTAAGACGCCGGGAACCCCTGAAGCCTAGAAATGGTGAGCCTGCCGGGTCCGACATCCCGAGAGAGGGGGAGGGCCTGGTTGGAACTGGTCGGAAGTGACTGGCGGGACTCGGGCCTCCCCGCAGTCGGCTCCAAAATCCGCGGCCCGAGTTCCCCTCGGCGAGCCCGGCCCTCAGTCCCCTTCGGACATAAGATGGCGGCTGACAGCCGGACCCCGGGCGTCCTGTCACCTCCCTGCGCAGCGACTCTGCCCTGGCCTGGAGCCCTCTCCGGGCAGCTCTGCACCCGCAGCGCCGCATCTCTCCCCGGCTGTGCGGGGACCACGGGAGGGTCGTCCGGGGAGAATCCTGACGCGGGGTGCGGGGCTCATGAATGGGGAGAGCTTTGGTCCATGGGGTCCCAGTCCATCCTTTTTTCTATTAAAAATTCATGGAAGTCACTGGAAAATTATTTTAAAATGTAATAGAAGTGTGGCTCAAAAATTACAGAGCACCCGGCTATGATTTGTAGTTTGTGGTCCATGGGAGGGGCTTGAAGGAAAGACTTCAGAGAGGTGTGCGATGAATAAAACCAAATTCAATTAATACGTTAGGTGCAGTTACATAGCTTCTTTTTTTTTTTTTTTTTTTTTT